GCAGAGTTCCTCCCTGACCCCCAAAATGGTGATCAGTACAAGTCTGAGCTGACTGAGCACGTAAGAAAGATCCACCAGCCAAACATCTGCATGAGAGAATTCGCCATACCACCTCAGAGTTCCAGTCTATCCTTTTCAGTGTCCCATCTCCAGCCCTGGCCCTTTTTGATGCTTCAGAGGAGGAGTAGGGAAACAAACCTGAAATACATTAGGTGGGGAAAAATATTTCCTTCTGGACCTCTACTGACAATCCTCTGAAGCCCTGAGGCATGAAATTTAGGAACACTTTCATCTGTACTTCTATATAAAAAAATACTTGGTATTATTTGAGCTGGCCACTTAATTGCATGCTAATAAATTAAATGCTGCAGCTTGATTTAACTATGTGTTGGTTGAAAAATTGAGTGTGTTCTTTTGAATACATTCTGTTGTTGCAGAAAGCTGTTAAAATAATTTCACTTCAATTATACATCAAAGTGTCTGGTAAGAGGAGGGAAGGTGAATAGGCCAAATAGTCAGTGCAAATGTTGCAACAGCAGGAGAATAGAATAAATGACATTAAAAAGAAAGCCACTGGAAGAAGCTACTTAGGGCCTGTTAAAGCTGGTTAAAAACAAGACTGTTACTATTACAGTTTCTCCTAAATGAGGAAATACTAACATAAACATTTGTAGGGGTCACAGGGGCAAATAGTACTATACCAGCCAGTGGAAGCAAGTATGTTCTTAACAGAAGTTGGATAGTTCTCTTGTCAAAGACAGAAGAGTTGTAATATTTCATTTGAAAATGAGCATTTTTCACCTTGCTGTTGGGTATTAGCTTCAACAGTTAATATGAACTTCTGGATTCTTAAGGCAATTTGCAAAAGGAAACCCTGTTCTGAGATGCAGAGCTCTTCTGGTTTCAGCGGGGTAGCCGTGTTAGTCTGTATCAGCAAAAACAATGAAGAGTGCTTGTGGCACCTTAGAGACTAACAAATTTATTTGGACATATGGGCTATAACCCACTTCATCAGAAGCACGGAGTGGAAAATACAGTAGGCAGGTATAAATATACAGCACATGAAAAGATGGGAGTTGCCTTACCAAGGGGGGGGGTGTGTGTGTCAGTACTAATGAGGCCATATAATCAGGGTGGATGTGGCCCATTCCCAACAGTTGTCAAGAAGAGCTGAACTTCATGTCAACTGTTGGGAATGGGCCACATCCAGCCTGATTGAATTGGCCTCGTTAGAGCTCTTCTGCTAACTCACCTGGTGGATCCTATAACTGCAACCTTGAAGTATAAATGGCCATGACAGTCTCTCTGAGGTAGGACAGATAACAGGGGAAATCCAGCAATAATCTGAATTGTTGTGGTTGGGTGGGTGTGAGTGTGTTAAGGTAACTACCAGGAAAGGGGTAAATTTAGACCATATGCAGTGTGTGTTTGTACTGCTAGCAGCAGAATGGGAAAGCCACATGACTAGTCTCCTCTTTTACCTTTTTTAAACAATATTTAAATAAGGCTTTAAAGGATTTTCGGCTTATTTGGGGGAGGGGGCAGGGCAGGACAGTTGATTTTTTTTTTCCAATTTAGAAACTTAAATCCAGTTTATGCTTGAAGACTCGATGACTGGATAATTTGTGAAAATCATGACATCACAAGGAACTAAAAGCTGAACAGCTGTGAGAGGAAAGGATTTTTAATCTTGAAAACATTTTTGTGTTTTGTTTGTCACAACAGCTGTTTAACGTAGGTTCCTAATAACTTTTCTCCTGAGTGTTCATCTTTGTTTAACAATGGGCCTTCCCTTCAGTTAAGTTGTGGGTGGTCACAGTGCCTGTCTCTGGACATCGTAAGAAGTGGTTTTCAGTAAACTCAGGAGAGACTTGACTCTCCTTCTGTATCATGAAGTACAAACCCAATTTGGGAAAAACGTCCTTTGTATAACAATCTTAATGGTAAAAACAAGCTGATCCACTTGAGGATAAAGAAAGATGTTGTACTTTGATCTCTGGAGGCACATGCTTTTGACTATAAAAAGCAAGGGAAGCCTAAGCAATGGCTCCATAGGGATGATAAGTATTTCCTGATCTAGAGTATTGCTAATTACACATTCCTTCTTGAATTGTTTTTTAGAGTCTCTTTCCTTCCTGCAGGTCTCTTATTTGCCATGGCAGCCAACAGCCACCAGGTCCAAACCCATTCCCCTCAGGAAACACTAAATTCTGTTTGCCACCATCCCCTGAATCTGAGCAGCCACCCTCTGTCTAAGAGCTCCTCAAGTCTGGCGTGCATTGGGCAAGTGAGTTCTGATGAAAGACAGAGCAGCAAACAAGATCTCAAGAAGAGCCTCAGTAGTACTGTCTGCCAGACACAGGTGAGTGAGAATGATGTTGGAAGTACCCCTAGTTCTGAATGGTCTTCTACACAGTCGGGAATGGTGGAAAGTTCATCTGCTGTCAGAACGACGAGTGATCATGCACAAGGTGATAATGTGCAGAACAGAGCTACCACTACAAACCGCTTCCTGACCGTTGACCAGATTCCAATATCCCTGGAAGAAAAGGACACTAGGATGCATGTCAAGAGTAGCACTGTTGAAAACATTTCTTCAGTCTGTGATACACACCAGCAAAGTGTGACTAGAACGGAAGGACTGGAAGCTGTAGTTCAGAGAAGCCATTCTGACCTAACATGCAGTTGCAAGCAGCAGAGTTCTGTCACCCACATGGAAACCAGTGCCACACACTCCATTATAAGTTCTTCTAGCAGTAGTTATGATACATCAGTGCATAACACCTCTTTCCTAAGACCGAGATATGGCTCTGGAACATATGAAAATACTCCTAACTATCAAAACCAGGTGACTCAGATTACCACGTCATATAGCGACCAAAAAGTGCCCACAAACAGCTTTGACAGTGGCGGTATAACATATAACACTACCATTTATACAGATCCTGGAACATTTCACACTGCCATTCTAGGACCACACATGCCAGGAAGTGGTTTCCCAAACAGGACAATGTGCAGTCAATCAATTGGGCTTAGTCAAGGTGGCATGACTTACAGTAACGTATCAAGCGGTATATACCCTGCCACAGTGATGACAATTCACAACAGCACTGCTCTACCCTGCAGTGCAAGGCAGGACTCTGCTATGAAGATAGACGGCACTGTTTCTGCCTATTGCCATTCTTTGCCAATACCATCTCTTCAACTTGTTCCAAGGTTGGTATACTCAGTTAGTGAATCGGGAAGAGAACAGGTAACTCCTGGATATCGTCAGTCCTTGCCTACTTCAGATATCATGACCTTTCCTAAACTTGTGTCATCTGTTAGCGAATCAGGTCTGGATGCAAAGCGAATCCTGAAATGCTGTAGTGTTCCTGGGGAGCATCTGTCACATGCTCAGCACTGCATTCAACAGAGCAGAGCTCAACAGGAAACGAAGGCTTCTTACATTGTGTTGCATGACCAGCAACGTGCAGATTTGATAATGAAGACTAAAGACACATGGACTATGACCTCTATGAATGACTTAACCAAAGGACTGAAATCTCCTCTTCAGTGCAAAGATGCAGAGGTACAAACCATTTCAACAGTGGAATGCAAGTCTGTGGCCACAAGCCCATCTGTTGTAGCTGAAGGTCATCCTCATGTGTTCCCAGAGGTTAATTTAGAACATGACCAAGAGGCCCCAAAGTCTCCAGTACGTGAAGTGAGATGGGATGATGAAGGGATGACATGGGAAGTATATGGGGCAGCAGTGGACCCAGAAGTTCTTGGATTAGCCATTCAAAAACATCTTGAAATTCAGATAGAACAATTCCAGACAGAGCCTATAGAGCTCTCTAGGAAAAGTACTGAGGAGTCACCTCCAGCTAAAGAGGCAAAGAAAAGGCCATTTAGAACAATGATGCACTCTTTGAGACACCCAAGCTGCTGTGCCCGTTCCAATACTGTTGTGGAGTGAACATAGCTACATGACTGCAACATTTAAACTGTCTTGTAAATAAACATTACATCTTAAGACTTAACGCAGCTAGTGTGGACAATCCAGTCACTTTAGAATAGGGTGGGAAACTGTGAGTTGACATAAAATAAGAAACTCCAAGGAGATCTATTACCTGAGAACTCAACAAGAAACTCCAAGGAGATCTATTACCGGAGAAAGCAGAAGGGTTGTATATTTGTAGCTCCTTGACTTTTTTGTTTACTATAGTATTCCTCTGTCCTTGTGTATTAGATGTGAATAATATTACAAGCAATGATACACTTTTTTTCTAAAAGACAGATCTTTTAAGGTCATGTTATTGTACTTTGTACTTTAATAATTTCTAGTTAGGAAAACTTTTTAAAAATACAACTTACATTCTTTAGCATCCTATTAGATTGAAATTGTTTGGGGAAATAGTATGCTGTTTTTAAAAACTATAACTTAATTGCATTTTAGACTTTACAGAGCCATAAATACCACTTTAGTAATATATAAAGGGCATAATATTAATTACACTGTAATTGCTATATAGTTAATGAGTAAGAGTGATCTGTAATATAAATGTGCAGAGTAACTTCAATTCTGCTAGTCTGACTTAATTCTATACATCACATATGTCACGGACAATGTATAGATAGACGACACTACTGCAACATCACTTAAATTAGTCTATATAGTTATAATGAATTACACAATAAGTATCCAAAGGAATTAGTACTTGCAATGTAACTAAGACATAAATGTACAATATTGCCAAAGATACCTAATGAATCATGAATGACTCATGTAATGTGAATTTTATCCTGAATAACTTTCTTACAAACACATGACACAAAAAAAGGATCTCAGGTTAGTCTGTCATACTGTGTCTATATTACAGATTATACGTGGTCAGTTTGGTTTCCTGACATTAAATGTAATTTTTAGTGATTTCTGGATGTGCATCTACATTGAATTGTGATTTTTTAAAAACTGCATACGTGATAAATGTATAGTCACAGGGATGCCTATTTGGATGTGTACAGTACACTAGCGGAGGGGCCATCCTGAACAACTTGCCCTCCACCAACCTCGTGTCCTCATTTGGCTGGAGTGAAACATGTTCCTAAAGTCTGGTTTCTGTTCATTTGCTTTTAATATAATGCAACTTAAACTATAAGGGTAAAATTTCCAGCTAATTGATTTGCCATGTGAACTGTAGGATCCCCTCTTCCCAAAATGTGTGTGTGTGCTCACACACACATTTTGGGAAATCATTTGAAAATAATGGGATAGTTCTGATCACTGTAATTTTTTTCAAAATAATTGTAATAAGTCCTAAAATAGTATTGGTATTGATTAGAAGGGAATTGTAAGCGGAAGAAGAGACCAATTAGGATCACTGTCTCTTAAACAATGATAGGCTGCTATACAGTGTAGATTAGAAGCTAGTACTACAATTACTAGGTTATATAAACCGCTGCAGTGAATAAACCTATAGTACTGGACTGGCACAGATTTGCTACTACATTACCAATATCTGATTATCACTGTAGGAGAAAAATAAACAGCAAATGCAGGGGAAGGACAGTAAGGCAATCAGGTCAATGTCTTGCTAATCAAAAAAAACAGATGCTCCCTTATTTTGGGCATTTCAGGTCTTTAGGCTTCTAATTGAGTCACTGTGGCTTGTTAACAAATATAGTGTGTGCATCTGCGGATTTCCTTTGCTTTTGGAAAGGATTAAAATAGAAGAGATTTTTAATGGGAATTTAGGAAAACTAAAATATTCATCTGAATATTAACTCTGTGGATGAAATATGAAAACTGCCTCTTTTTTTAAACTGCCTCTTTTTTCACTTTGGATGTGGTCCTTGGAAAGTTACTTTTCGCATTTTGAATCTAAATGCCTGTCAGGTAACACGTTCATTGAATCTTTTCCATTTTTGACCACTGTTCAAAATTCTTGTTGTGAATGTTCATGGAACTGGGGTGTTAGATTTATCAGAGGCAGAACAGTAGTTTTTGACTTCTGAGTTCTAATGACCTGGAATGCTGTAGATTCAGGCTTGTCTGCATTTAAAATTTAACTAACAGCTGTTGAAAGAGAATTGGCACCAAATTTATGTTCCAAAAACCAGAAGATGCTACTCTGGATAACAATTGGTGCTGACCTGTCTAGATGCTGGGGAGAAGGGCATGTTGGAACTATCAAGATAGTGGCTAATTAATAAATTTTAGAGAATGGTAACTTAGCACTAGAAGGACTAGCTAGAAACTGAACACATGGATTCTGGATGGCTCACGGCTTGCTTAAAGTATAAGTTACAAAGCTGTTCCCTTCTAGGTCACTGGTTCAGCTCTAGTTCAAATTGGCGTTGATTGAGAATAGGTAATACCTGGTGTGGGTGCTTATTAGGTAGTATGTGTGAAATGAGTTACCTTAGTCCAGTTACCAATAAACAAGTATCAATATCATTAAATCTGCTCTTTCCAGTCTTGGAGAAGAGGCCAAGAACTGAATTAGACCCTCTCTCGCTTATTGAAAGTGGCCCCTCAAGATCAGTATTAGAGATTAATTGGGCTAGGCAGTGAAGAAGAAACTTGCAGAATAACCATCTGTGCTGTACCTGTTCTTGGTTGGAGTTCTTTGATCTCCAAGACTTTCATGAGCACTAACCAGGCTCCAGTTTTTTTGAGAGACAACAAATAACACCAGCACTTACTAAAATAATAAAAATAAAAAATATGCCTGTTGATCTTTTTTTAATCTGGCCCTGGGATTATAAACCATATACTCTGATCTTGGTGCACCTGAATCTGCACCAGGACTCCAAGATGAGAATTTCCATCCCCAGAGGCTCCACTTGCCTTCATGTGAAAGAATGCAAACTGGCAATGAATTCAAGACGACCTGGTATTCTGCCTCCCAGTGTGGCTAATTGCTGGTACTTCAGAGGAAAAGAATCCCTACTCCCTATAAGGCAATTAGCCAGTTGTTCAAAGACGTATGTGTTTGGGGAGGCATTTCTTCCTGCCATCCTTATGATCTGAAGCAATAAGAAAGGATCACTTCTGTGGTGGCAGGCTCATTACACAATTATTTAGCTTTTTTGTAAATCCAAGGAAATAGTGATCTGCCAGTAAGCGTGGTGAGGTAAGAGGTCCTTGGTGGGACAGAAGGTTGTTTGTTCCTTGTTAAAATTAGAACAAAGTCATATAGTTCTTTGTAGGAAAAACACTTTTTGGGGAAGGGTGCGGCTAAGCCATAATGTCTGATGTGGGGCTCTTACCACAAGGTTGGGAGCCAGAAATTTCTGAGTGCTAGTCTTGGAACTGACCCTTACATTCTCTGTCACTTGGGCAAGACACTGCTCTCATGAGTTTTCCCAGCTGTGAAGGTAATACTTGCAACTGTTCCTTGCAGCCATGTTGAGGAGATTAATTCATGGTTTCAAAGCTCTTTGAAAATGAAAAATGCTATATTAGTGTTAAGTAGTATTGTTAATTGGAAAAAAGGGGTGGGAGAAGAATGGTTTATTAGATGGAAATAAGTACGTTCAGTAAACCCTTAGTGTGGGCTAAATAACCATACAGAACTCTTCATGACACTAGTCATTTATGTCTTGCTTTCTTGGCTAGGAAGATAGAGATTATGGGGTTTATTTGGTTTATAAATTACATTTTTTTCACTTTCTTCAGCAAAATAGCTTTGAAATTAAGGGCTCAATTAAAAACCAATGTCTAACCCACATCTTTTTTAAAATCTCACCCCGTTAATAGTTCATGTTGCTGGATTCATCTAGCCATTTGAGGATAAGAAACCGGTGACTGTAAGTTCCTCTGGGCAGAGCCCTTATTTTTCAATATGCCTGTAACTACTGCACACCCTTGTATCACTACAGACAATGAAAATGAGTAGTGCTGTCTAGCCTCCTGTGTTGAACTGGACATTCTAAATAGGCTAGCTCTGCAATAGGGCAGAAAGGTAACAGGATGTGTATTCATTTTGCATGGAGAGTGTAATTTGTAGATGAACAAGATCTGTGTTTTTCTCATTTGGAAAGATGAAATGTCAGTCTTGCAGCTAAAGACACTGGTTGTTTTAAGAATGAATGTTCTCACTATCACCACCACTTTATAAAATGAGAGATTCAGCTTCCTGGCCTAGAGAGATTGCAACTGCCATTGGGGAGTACTGTACAACTGGTTCATTTCCTCTTCCTGTCACCCCCTTTCAGGGCTGACATGGGCTTGCAGAACTGAAGCTCCTGTTTGGAAAAGAAAGCCCCAAAGAATAACGGGATTTAATTAAGAAAAGGAAACTTAGGTTGAATATCAGAAAAACCTTTCTTATGGTTATGTGGAACATCCTTTCAGGGGAAGTGCTGGATGTCCAATTTCTTCACACATTTAACTCTTGTCTGTATCAGATCAAGAAACACACTTGCAGGCTTTGCTGCAGTTGTTTGAATGTACAGTTTCTGCCTCTCTAAAGCTCTAGAAATTCTGGGTCTTGAGCTTACAGTCATCACATGCAGAAGGGTCAATGCATTCAGATAGCAGAGTACTAAGCTGCAGTCTGTAAGTCTTTAGAAGCATTAATCCCAACTAATATGTGACTTAAACAGATGCCATCTATCTTATTATCAGCCATCCATATGCGACAGAATACATTGCTCAAACAACATTTCAAGGGAATTTTTAAAAGGAAGGGAATAAACACGAATGAGGAAATGATGCCAGAAAATCTTAACCCTCTTCCAACCACATACTGTTTTCTTACTGGCAAAAAAGCAACCCCAGCAACAATTAACCACATGGTGTTGCAAGCTGTTTAGCCTCATGAGGAGAGATTTTGTTCCCTATGTGGTTAAAGGTAGCATAATTTAATGAATCTGGGTCAAGAGCTTTCAATGAATTAAAGTGTGTTTGTGTTACTTCGTAGAAAATAGGTTCCCTAGCCCCATCTGCTGCTCAGTGGTTGGATCTGCCACTCATTTTTATCAAGTAATAAAAATTCAATGGCTTTCTTCATTTGAGCTTGTAAATCATTAATCATAAAGTGGATGTTGGACCAAAATTCCCTAAACATACAACAGTACCTTGCAGAAATGCCCATTTTGTTTGTGCCTTCCAGTGTAAAACTGCTGATGAGAACCACCCTCCCACAGCCAGTCATAACAAGAATGCTAACCACAGGCAGAACCATCCAGGCCTTGGTGTTTTGATCTGCCCTGCATTGTTTTGCTGTAGTTATCATGAAAGTAACAACAAGCTGTGGTGTTTATGGTCCTGTCCCTCCAGTGTCATGTTCAGTAATGACACTTGTGCTGCAGTACAAAAATTCAGTCTCTCTTCTTTTCTCGTCTGATCAAGTTCTTGACAATGATTGTAGACGGTTTGCTTATGCTGCTGTTAGTGCTTTCTTTAGCACAAGCATCTTCAGTCCAGAATGCACGTCATCCCAAATTCCTGAACGTCGGTAAGTTGACACTACATGATCTCTTTTTTTTGGAAAAAACTATTAAACAGGCTAATGCCATTAGCCAGTGGATTTTAATTCAGCAGATCCTGTGCACACGCTTAAACTTGTTTGATAAGCTCGTTCCTTCCCTGCTTAATAGTGCTCTCTGTTGCCAAATGTTCCCCCTTCTCCGCATCTGCAATATATCTACTATAAATATGACTTGATTAGTGCCATAACACTGTTGGCTGTTAATGATACCAAACCCTAATGGCTGCTCCCTAGAAACTGGCAAAAAAACCCAAAAACAACCAGATAATAATAATAATTAATACCATGAGGTGAAACGGGGCACCTCGGGTCAAATCAGAAGGAGCTATTTGGGTTCCATGGGGATTTCTTTCTTTGGTCAAGTGCTCAGCAACCCTACCTAATAGCCCAAATAAGTCATTTCTTCTGCTCCTAGGTCAGAAGTTGCCATTTCTGTTAATATTTTGAAAGCCCCATTTTAAAAGGGAAGTCTTGGAGACTCCGGTGACGGCACTGACACCTGGCAAGATTGTCATGCACCTGATTTACACACTGGAACCAATTGTGTGACTAGAGATTGCAGGATCAGGCTCCTGATGAAGGGTGGGCTATTTTTAAATACCCAACTTTGTACTTTTAATTCACATTTCTTCAAACCTGTCAAGGGCATTTGTCCCTATTGCCTTGTGCATCCATGGTAAATATGAAGTTTCTGAAAGATGCAGTTTGAGGTATCTGAGTGAAAATTCAAAAGAATGTGTCCAATAAACCAGTAACACAAAACCAATAAAAGATCTGAAAATCTTCTCACAATAAGATATCTCCAAAGTAGTCAAACAGAAAGTGATCACACATTCCAGAGAAACAATCATTTGTAAATTGAGAAGCAAAAGGAATTTTGGCCCAAAAGCAAACTAGTCATAGACATTTGAAAATAGCAGCTGTGGGTGTAAAAACTAATAAGCTCACACAATAAACTCTTCCATGTATTTTATTGATCTATTTGAAGTTTTAAAATCTATTAACTTTTTTACTATCACTATACATGCATGCATAATTGTACAAAAGAGAGTAATATGAATACAAGGCTGGTGAATACAGTACATTGTTAATGATTGTCATTTTACCCCATTTTTCCAAATTCTCTGCATGTTTGAGTTGCATGCCCCATCATTTCAGAATCAGCCTACTACTGTTAGAACATGATCTTGCGGACTTCATTTATTTAGCTATGTATTTTAGATTGGCCAACAAACTGTGGTGTTCCATATTTTCAACCAAACACGGTGGAGAGGATTATATCAGGCAACGAAGTAAGGCCACATTCTTGGCCTTGGCAAGTCTCATTACAGGTAACAATGACCTTTAGACAGAGTAACAAACCTGGCTGTCCTTTGTCAGTACAACATTTTTATTGAAGTCAATAATAAAGTTATTAAGAGTGTGTGTGCAGCCAAGCAAGTGAATGTAACTTGTGTCTCTATATTGTGCCACAAGCTTCTCCTACTGAAGTCAATGGTAAAATGTATGTATAGATAAAGAGTGCTTTTCACAAATCTTTAAATAAAGGGATTGCAGTCTAAGAACTATTTATATAATTTTATATATAAGTAGTTTCTTATGGTTGTAAAATATTTGTGAGCTACAGTATGTAGCCATCAAACCTGAATTGAAGTATACTTTCCAAAAAGTTGATGGAAGCACATTTAATTAAGGATTTAGTCATCCCAACCCCCCTGAAATTTTCTTTTCTCTCTTTAACTGCCCTGTATATTTAATAGTAGGAGGACTGGCCACTTTAAAAATAAATTTTAAAACCAAGAATTGTATAGCAGCTTCATGGGAAAATAATTCCCTAGAAAATAATGAAGACTTGGTTACAGATGCAGGCAAGAGGGATGAAATAGAAAGAAGAGGGATGGAGGGTATTTCTGTATGACATTGGTGAAAATACAGAACTTCAAGACAGCAACACATTTTCATCATTAGTAATATAGTCTGTTTTGTATCTAAGCAAAGTAGATTGGTATGTGACTGAATTATTCCACCACAATAAAAAAAGGAGATCATAGTCTCATTCATCCAGAAGGAGTCTTTTATAAACTGGTTTCTCCAGAACCTCTAACTCAGATAGTCCCCTACTTTCCACCACTGATACATTTTTCTTGGTCATCAAAGAAGACTATATTTCTGCTGGAGAAAGCTCAGTCAGGGAAGAGAATGGGATGTATATATAAAGAATCAATAATTGAAGTGTGGCTGACATCTGATAATTTGGACGTGGAAATGGATAACATGCAAGGGCAAATGAAGTTAAAAATAACTTATAATAACCTATGATTTAAATAAAATGAGAGATAATGGGCTGTGATAGGATTCACAAACAAAACACAAAGGAGTCTTCCGTGCAAGATTCTTCTGTCCTTATCTTCCATATTAATGTTGTTACCCTCCATGTGTTTACTGCAATGTTGGAAGAGGAACCAATAGGGGGATGCAAAGAAGGGAGTGATGTGATGAGAACAACAAACAAGGTAAATGATCCTTGCAACAATGTTTTGAATAGACTTGAGGGGGCAATAGGGCTGGCCTCAATGCTAGAAAAGACCAGATTACAGCAGTAAAACATAATAATGAGGGCTTGGCAGTCTGGACATACAAATATCTTCATAATTATTGCTTATTAGTTAACAGTGGTTTTCACTACCCCATCTTTATTCCACAATGGCATTAGCAGACAGGTCTTTCTTAACAATTCTTTAGCATTATTTTACACACAGAAAAAAGAATGCCGGGATAAACAGATTTCTTCCACAACTGCTAGTAACACATATTGCTCAGTAGAGGGCACTTTAGTTCATCCATTAGCCACCATTAGTTCATCCATTCCTTTCAAGTGCCCAAGAATGAAATCTCCTCTGACATAAAGTTCTATTATTTTCTAACTTTATTTTTCTTTCTAGGTTTGGACTAGAACAAATAGCAAATTTATTCATGTTTGTGGAGGGACTCTCATTCACAAAAGCTGGGTTCTCACTGCTGCCCACTGCTTCCAGAAGTAAGTTTTACATTTGCAGTTTTTGCTTGAGTTCTTGGAGGTTATGGAATATATTTTTGTATACTCATTACCACTGAAAGCAGAAATAAGTGCAGAATTAGATGTATTCTGTACTTCAGCCATTGTGACTCAGAGCCACCATGAAAAGGGACATCAGAAAGACTGACAGAAATTAGGGTTACCGTATTTGAACATTCAAAAAAAAAGAACATTCCATGGGGGTGGGGGGGGGTATTTGCTCGCACCCCCCCTGCCTTGCCCCAAATCCACCCCTTCCCTGCCCCCATTCCAACCCCTTCCCCAAAGTCCCTGCCCCAACTCCATCCTCGGCCCGGCCCTGCCTCCTCCCCTGAGCGTGCCGGGTTCCCTCTCCTTCTCCATCCCTCCCAGCCACACGAAACAGCTGTTTTGCAGCACAAGCGCTGGGAGCTAGGGGGAAAAGGCAGGCACTCTCTCGAGTGATCAACATTCACTCTCTTTCTTGAATGATCAACTCTTCTTTGGGGAAAAATAATAATGGCAAAATCCCAGACGTTTTCAGATATTTAAAAATTCCTCCTGGATGGTGATTTAAGAATCAAAAAGCCAGACATGTCTGGGAAAATATGGACGTATGGTAACCCTACTGATCAAGGGAAATTGTGCACACCAGTGGGGTGGTTCTTAAACTTACTCCTGGGGCATTCAAGGCAAAAAACTAAAAATTCTGGGCACAATATTTTAAAATTCTGCAGATTTTATTTGTCAAAATAACACTACATAATCACACCAGTTTCAATTATTTTGATAATTTATTTCAAAATACCTGTCAGCAACCTGATGCTCAGTGTCAGGTTTTCACGGAGTTTCCTGCGCACTGCCCTCTCCTTTCCTCAGGGCATGCTGGGAACTGCAATTGCCAGGAACCCTCTAGCTCTCTCCCCCTCCCTCACAGCGGTGTCTTCTATGTGTGAGCTGTGCTCTGCTGTGTCCCTAGTGGCAGCTAGCAGCACTGCAGCCCATTTCTATGGGGCAAAGGAAATTCTGTGTGCTCGTTAATTTCTGGAAAATTCTGCATTGCGCAGTGGTGCAGAACTCCCCCAGGAATATAAACTGGGGAACACAACCTAGAAATTAGGGTATTAATAGCAAAAGAAAAATCCATCAAAATGCAAAAGATGACAACCATGGGATATTACTTGGGAAAATATATTGAAAGAAAGCATATAAATGAGGTCAAAAGAACTTCTAGTTTTTTTACGTGGACTGAGAAATATACCATCACAGAAAGGAATAAAATCAAGCAAATATGGATTTACCCAGTTCTTAAAATGTCTTGCTTTCTGCGATCAATGTTCCACACTTGTTCTTGAATAAACAAAAAAACACTATTATTCTTTCATATAATGACACATAAAGCAGTTATTTTCTGTACTTGGTAAATTTTCTTTGTATTTAGTGTTCCTTTTCTTGTACCATGTATGATAATGACCTGTGAATGTGTCACAAATTTGGTAACTCCCCTTTTAAAATAATTGTAATGTAGTTTTTAGTTTATACAGGATGGAGAAGCCATGCAGGTGAAGTACAGTGTAAAACAAGTAACAATAGAAACTAATGCAATTGATCTTGCATTGATCTTGTTCAACAATAAGTCATTCCAACTATTCAGTAAGTTACAGTCTAACTAAGAAAACTTCAAACTTTCTGAAAAATATCTGGCCAACCTCCATGCCAATATGTAATTTGGTGTAAGATTAAAATTCACCCTGTTGCAAAGACCCTGTGTAAAGCCTGTCATGCCACTTAAGCTGCACGGTGGTAAAGCTTGACAGATTCAGTAGCTAGAAATCCCATCTAAAGCTACAAGTCCTATGTTCTGCCCATAGTTAGAGCAGTGAGGGAATGAATTCCATTCTCTCCAGTCCTCATTTAGGCCTCAACTCAGTAAGGTTCTTAAGCATGTACCTATCTTTAAGCACAGGAATAGTCCCAGTAAATACTTCCTGAATGAGAGCTGAAGTTCCTGGTATAAAGCACATTTACTCAGGAGGAGTAAAGAAATGTATAAAATTCATTCCTTTTTCTCAGTCAACTAGAAATGGTACTGAATCTTTGATCCAAAACCTTGTTATACATTCATGTGCAGTGTCCAAAGGAGAAGGATAAGTGCACTAAGCCTCTAAACCTGCTTTTTATTGTTGTATTTTATAGATACTTCCTAAGCATCTATAATATGTTTATTCCCACTGTATATGGAGGCCTGCTGTAAATAATGATGCATTGTTTCCTCCTGCAGTGAAGAGTCAAACTGTATCTTTGTTGCTGTTAAATACTAGGAAAGCTGCTTTTTACATTTATTGTGTCAGCAGAATCCTTTAAAGTAATTTCTAATCTACTTCTTTGGCAGGATCTCATTTTTCATCATAAATATACTCCCACTCATTTCAGCAGGCTACCATTTTGCACTTCTAAACAATGTCATTTTAAACTCACAACATTTTATTTGTCAAAATAAAACTACATAATTGCAAGTTTGGGGTAAACAGCCTTCTAGTCAATTATGTGAGTGTGGGGAGTATTGCACATAATTAAGTGGAAAAAACTCATTAAAAAGAGGGCATTAGGTTCAATATAATGACACCCTATGTTGTTTTAATTTTTTAGAGGAAAGGTAGAAGATGCAGCAAACTGGCGAATTCTCCTGGGCAAGCATAACCTTAATCGTACCGAATCCACAGAGCGAGTCTACCGTGTGAAGCGAATTTATCAGCATGAGCATTTCTGCTACCCTCACCTAAATGAGCTGGATTATGACATTGCCTTGGTCAAGCCTGTAGAAGACATTATAACAAACCATTTTATTCACTATGCCTGCCTGCCTAAGAGAGACAGCACTCTTCATCCAGGACAATTCTGTTGGGTGACTGGATGGGGGAACACAAGAGGTACTTCTGAGTGCTTCTCATAGCATGGGTTCAGAGGTTAGACTTCACGAGTCTGTGGAAGGTGAATGCCTGTCAGAGACCAACTTTTAGCCAGTTACTCTTTTGAAATTCCAATGATATAGAGGAGGATTATTTTCAAAGCACATAGCAATATAGGCAGGGTACCTTCATATATGCTGAGGCACAAGAAAACCAAATAGCTTACCTAGTATAACAGCACTTCTTGAAATAGGTGACTGACTTATTCTCTTAAATGTTACTGTTATAACAGCATAACCATAGCACCTAGGAGTCCCAGTCAAAGTCAAGAACCCTATTGTGCTAGGTACTGTATAAACACAGAACAGTCCCTGCCCCAAAGAGTGTACGTGACATTTTGGTAACAGTTACTGCCCATGCTACCATAATACCTGCATACTTGCACAGCTAAATCTTTCAACAACCATTCAGATTTTATTCTGAGGTTCTTCCCTGTTTTCATGTTTATGTATGTATGTATTTATTTATTTATTTTATATTTGGGTAGCACATTTGCGGTTCCAGTCTGGATTACAGCCCCATTTTAAGCACTGTACAAACATCTGTGATACAATCCTTGCCCCAAAGAGCTTATATTTTAACTAATGCCCATGAAAAGTGCCAGGCTCTTTAGTCCTGGAGACTGAAGTCTCATTATCTGCAAAACAGATAAAACATGGACAGCAGCATTACAAACCTCCCTCTACTGCCCTGCCACCATACCATGACCCTGCCCAGGGATGAATGAATAGTTGGATCCTGTGACAATAAATTGTGGGGAAATGCAATTTCATAGTTGACTATACTTGTGGAATAAACACATACACAATATGACTATTTAAAACAAACAAAAAATCTGAATTAACAAATTGGAAACAAAAGTGGAATGGTGGGAATCTTTTAATCTGGAACAAAGTAGACCCAAGTACATGAATACTGTTAAATTACATTCCATGTCACTTGAAATGTTCATATTTAGAACGGAAATGTTTTTCATGTTCCCTTTTCTCATCTATTTTATCTATTTAAGGTGGGAAAGAAAACCTGGCTTTGTCTGAGGTTTTGAACCAGGCCAAGTTACCAGTCATAGATTTCAGTACATGTCGCCTAAAGAAGTTCTGGGGAGACAGAGTTCGGCAGTCAATGCTCTGTGCTGGATTCAGGGACACTGGGGAGCCTCCTGCTGCCTGTCAGGTACAAAACTCAGCTGTTAATTCCAACTATGAATGAAAACATCAGGCTGTTCAGTACAGGGGTAGCTAACATGTAGTTTGTGGCTTTCTAAAAAACGGCCTGCTGCTGCCCCTATCTTTAAAGAGAAGTGTGTGTGGCCTGTGAATATTATACTCTCAATATGCAAGGGTCCATACTGCATGCTGGGATATGTAGTTTTCAAGGGGCATACTCCCATGTTCGGGATAAAGGCTGTTACAAGCTTCTCTGTTAAAAGCAATTAAGAGGTTTAAACGTGGTATTTAGTAGGACAACGTTTGGACATCCCTCATACAATTGGAGAGAAATAGTTTTAAAGCAGTGGCATAGATTAGGATTGTCAGAGGCCTTAAATTACAGAAGACAGTCCTGGTTTGCAGCATTAGTTCTGTATCCTGACCTCAATGTGGAGGGGGAGTGGGAGTGAGAATTGGGAAGAGATTATTTTAAGCCCATTGCAGTTCAACGATATATGGAAAAATGTTCATAGCTGTATATATCCTTAGAAAAAAGGTTGCTAAAAATGCCCCAAACTGCTGCAAAGGTATCTCTTGTCAAAAGCTTGTGTATTATCACTTTTTGACTAGTCAAATTAAGGGTATTTAACTTTTCCACCTCTTTGTATTATAATGAGTGAAAGATATGTACCAATTCCAAGGTAATTTCTAGGAATATATTATTTCATATATTTTATGATGATTTTTGGTCAGGCATTACTTAAGGGAATTAATAAATTGTTTTATTTTTGGATGTGGGAAGACTTGGGGAGTGTTAACTTTTAGTGCTTGTGAAAAGTGACTGGTAGCCCTGAATACTGAAGTTATTTGTATTTCCCATAGATCAGCTACAGCACAAGCAGCTGTAGTGCAAACTTCCCTACACAATGCTGTCAACATGCCCTTTACCCTCTCTGGATGCATCCCTTCAAGAATTACTAAAGTAATTGGCTCATTGGCCTATGCAGTCCTTGACCTCTCTGCTATGACTGCCCAACTGTAGGGCATATTAGTGTCAGCAGAAATGGTTTTTGTGATCTGTACATTTTTCTAGTAGGAATCGGATCAAGACCACTAATTCACTTCATGTGGGCCACTGAACACCCATCAGATGTTAGTAATGACCAACCTAGCCTTGATCCAGACCTATGATTTAAGAGATGAAACACATTGTATACTGTTACTACATCTTTGAATCATCCACTTTCTTAATCCAATAAATGATTAGACAGCTTTAAAGAACAAGGAGATGACTCAGTCTGCATCTAATATCCTTATGTGTTTGGCAGAAAATGCTGTTCAGGTGGCCCATGTTGTTTTGAAACTGTGCAGTTTAGGTAATCCTAAAGAGGACTCTAACCTGACAGCTAAATCTCATCAAGAGTATCCTTCTAAAACATGGTGCTTTCCTCGCTTCTTGTAAGTAGCACAAGATGCCTCAGAGTTAAGAACTCCAGTGTAGCTCTACATCCTTTTCTATACCTTAATGACACCTGTTAAAAATAGATCTAGGAGTGTTTTATGCATTATGTGACATGCAAAAAGTCTGATTTGCTCTGTTTGTTAATAGAGCTATTAAAGAGCACAAAGTCATTGGCATGTAAGCAATTTCCTGCAATTCCAAGTCCTGTCTAATGGTTGTTTGTTTCTTCCAGGGAGATTCAGGTGGACCACTGGTCTGTCAGATTAGAAGAGAAAAGTGGGAAGTGCATGGTGTAGTTAGCTTTGGACCTATTGGATGCAAAGTGGAGAACAAACCCAGTGTCTTTACAAGGACTTCTGCTTACATTTCCTGGATTGAAGCAACCAGAATCCGGGACTTCTTTTTGTAAAGACATGAGATACAACTGAAGTGGGGGGAAAAATAAAAATCTTTTACATAAATAAATGTGTTCATTTCTAACTTTGAGGTTAATTAGGCTCTTTGCAGAGGGCAAGATAGATGAACCTGCTGTAGTCTCCACTTGTTTCCTCTTTCCTGAGTACCAGATCATTAGGTTAAATTTTCAGTAGTGTAAAGTTCAGTTAGCTGTCTTTCATAGACTCTTTCCCTTCTCATCTTGTGTCTTTTTTTTCTCAGTCCGCCATCTTCTCTCTGTCATTTTTTCTTCTTGGACCCCAAACTCTAATTCCCCATGCCTCTACTCTCTTCTGCAAACATTGATCAAAAGGAATAGGCTGCACACCAGACAATACTGAAGGCTGCACGAGGCAACAACAAATTATGGGACAGCCTTAAAAAAGAAATTCAGGATACTTAACAGTTCAGTGTCCCTTGCCAGGTCGTTTGTTCAGTGATTAAGTAAAGGAGCCCTGTGTTTATTATGGGGATTTGATGAGCCACCATATTTCAATTTTCTTAATTAATAAACTTGAAAAACATTTCTCTTTCCATAATATATGGGGTATAGGCTTGAAGTTGCTTTGGGGAGAGAGGGAGTGTGCTCCTTCAAAAATAATTAAAAGATGGGGAGAGGTAGATGGAGATTTTTGGAGGTTGGGGAGAAAGCAGGAAGATAATGGAGTTATTTCTGCAAAGTGCTTGGTCTCCAGTTCTAGGTGTAGCTTTGACTTTTTCTGCTTTAAAACATTAATCTTTATATAGTTCCATCCAGTATGCAAATTCACATCTCACTGCAGTGAAAAGGGAGTGGTGAGGTATTGTTCACACCTTTGTCTATGTTATTGTTTAGGAGATGGGTTTCCTTGAGGGGGTGAAACAGCTCTGTCACCCCCCCCCCCCTCATATCTCTGCATCTATTCTTAAAATCAGTAGTAGTTCTCAAACTATGGGTCACAGAAAGCTGGCAAGTCACAGTGACTTCTACAGGCATCCAGCTATTCTGAAAAATTAGCTTGAAACAAGTATGAGGAAACAGCTAGTCTTCCTCCACCAGTGGACAGAGAGGATGGGGGAGTTGCCCTTGCGAACTGGACCTACCCAGTGAAAAATTTGTTAGTGAAAAATTTCTGAATAAGGTATTTTCTACCCAAGTATGTGCTGCAGTTGCCACAGGGATGCTATTGGATAGTGAGTGGCAGTGAAAAAGCAAGATGGGCAGTGCCATGTGGTTGGTGACAGAAAAATGAGGTAAGGCAGTCTGGATGATGGAGAGTGGGAGGGGTGACTAGGCTGGGTGCTTATGGTTGGACATGTTGGCCTATGCTGAATGGGAAGGGAGGCTTGGTGCTGATGGGTAGCTGGGGAGGCTAGGCACTGGTAAGTAAGTGGCCACAGGGTTCTTTGCCTCAAGCTGTGGCCTCCTTTGAGACAGCCTGACAGTTCTGCCTTAGACCAGACTTGCTGTGGTTTGGGAGCTGTCTTTAGGGCTGGGCCACCTGCTCCCCTCTCCCCCACACTCATTGCAGCTTGCCCCATCCCTTCTCAGGTCCCCCTCCCTCAGCCGGATGCTATGCACAATAGCAAGTTTTAGAGGTAGGTGGGAGGGCTACAGCTCTCACCCACAATTCAGCCAGGATCTTGCGGACAAACATGATGGGGCAGTCAAAAGAGATCTGTGCCACGTGCCAGCCCTGCCTTAGTAAAAGCAGTGTTAGTGATGAAGACATTTCTAGGCTTTCTCCTGGTCACTGCTGCCAGTTCCATTTTTGTCCAATATGCCAGGATCCCTAGGGCACTGAGGGGGGATTTTTCTTTTTTTTTTTTGGCTACTGAAAACCTGCCAAGGAATTCTTTTGACCCGCCCCCCCAAACTGGTGTATGATAGTGTGCTGGGGTACTAGCTCGTCTCATGCCAGCGGGGGGGTTCCTGAAGTCCCAGCCGCGGGAGTCCCGTGATTCGTGAAAACTGAGGGTCTCAGGCAAAGAAAAAAACAGATGTTTCTAGCCCAAGGGCGACGCGAGCGCACCCCACGCGCGCTGCGCTGCCAGGCCAACGGGACCCAACCGCTCCGTGCGGCCCCAGCCTGGGATTCGGTCAGTCTCGCTCACTCCTGCCACCTGCCCCGCTGCAGGCCACCCTCCCCGGCCAGCCCCCTCGGGAGGCGAGGCGAGGGGGAGGCTTTTACGCATGCGCAGACCCAGTTCTAGCGCAGCAGGGAACTCGGGCTGGGAAGGTGCCCGCGTGCGTAGTGGCGCCTCTCTGCCGCTACGGATCAGTACACGCAGAGTGCTCCACGCGAGGCTTTACGACGGGCACAGCTCTCGCGAGAGTAGCCGCTCGTTCCCCCTCTCCCTTTTTGTACTGAGCCTCCAGGCCGTGAGGTCAAACCGCTGCGTCTGTGGAACCTTCCTCGCCCCCCAGCCCGGTAAGTGCGGAGCGCACCGGGACCCGCACCCCTCCCCCCGCCGCGCCGCGCAGCGCGCGGACGCCCCGCCTGCGCCCGCCCGCTGGGGAACCCCGCCGGCTGGTGCTCGCCTAGAGCCGAGGATCCGCCTCGCGTGCAGGCCGGCCGGGCTCAGCCCCCGTGTGCGCCGGGGGTGGCGCCGCCGCTCCGGCCTGGCCGTACGTGGCTTTCCCCCGCCCTTCCCGCGCCGCTAACTGACGGGCGGGCGGCCGCTCTGGGCCGCGCTTCCCCCGGGGGCTGCGTCCCGGCGGGGGGACAGTGACTCCTGTAACGCGGCGGCGGGGCGCAGCCGCGCAGGCAGACGGGAGGAGAGATGTTGCCTGGACTACGTGGGCGGGGAGAGGCTGCCAGGTGCAGAGAGCGGAGTGGGGTGGGGGCGAGCGCGGGGGGAGCGTAAGCGGAGGGTGCGGGAGGTGGGGAGGACTTTGGGACGGCGCCCACAGATACGTTTCCTCTATTTGAGGAGCACATGCTGGGGGCTACCACAGTCTACATCAGTGGTTCTCAGCCTCTCCAGGCTACTGTACCCCTTTCAGGAGACTGATTTGTCTTGTGTACCCTCAAGTTTCATCCCACTTAAAAATTACTTGCTTACAAAATCAGACGTTGAAAACACAGAAGTGTCACAGCAGACGATTACTGAAAAATTGCTTACTTTCTCATTGTTACCATATAGTTATAAAATCAATAAAATATAAATATTGTACTTGAATTTCAATGTATAGTATATAGGGCTGTATAAACGAGTCTGAAGTTTTAGTTTGCACTGACTTTGCTGGTGCTGTTTACGTAACCTGTTGTAAAACTAGGCAAATACCTAGTGAGTTGATGTACCCCTTGGAAGACCTCTGTGTACCCCTGATTGAGAACCACTGATCTACATAAAAGGAGCTTGTCAGTTTTGTACTCGCCTCATTGCAAATGTAAGGAATATGACTGTTCTTTTAAAAGGTACCATTTGCCAAACAGACTAAACAAAACAATTCTCTATTTGATGCACTAATAAAGAATAATAAACAAAGTGATGGGTGTACAATATGAAAGCACTAGTTTGTTTACTCTGAGCTACACTGTCAATTGAAAAAAATCTTTTAAAAATTAAGAATCAGCAGCCTGGTTGGTTTAATAATTTATCTTACAGTTTATTATGGGTGGCACTGAACCTCGTTAAATTAAACAGTTTTGAAAATGAGATTTTTCTTTGTGTTCAAATAGTGAAATATTTCCTGCATCCTAACCTACACAATCATACATAAAGATAGTAGCATTTCTTATCATGTGTTCTTGGTAAATATATTTGAGCATGATCAAAAATCTTTTTTTGGCTTATGTTTGTTAATTAGATTTAGGGCAAAATTTTCAAAAGCACCTAAGTGCACCTTGTCTCTGCACCACAGCATAGCTGTGTCAGTGTAGGTACGCCAGCACAACCCTGTACTGTAGTGTGGAGACATGCTATGCTGACTAAAGGGGTTTTCTGTTGGTGTAGGCTCCTCAGTAGATGGTGACTGGGTCCATGGACTTCTTTTGACATAGCTGTCTACGTCTGGGGGTTAGGACAGTATAGCTGTGTGGTCAGGTGTGTGGTTTTTTCACACCCCTGGCAGCTATTTTGATCTTTTCAGTGTAGGCCAAGCCTGAGTCACTGGGACTTGAGCATTTTGGAAATTATCTGTAGTGATTATAAATTTGCTTTTTAATACAGTGCCATAGGTGCATAGTGTTCTGCAAAGAGTTTAACTCCAGGCTAGGTAAGACATAAGATGGAAGAATTCTTAAAAAATTGCAGGTAGGTTACAGAAGTGCTTAGATTTGAAGGGAGGGTCAATATAAGTAGCTGTCTGATGTGGTTTTTGAAGGGCGAGAGGGAGGCTGTAGTGAAAATAAATGTGGGGGTACGTTCCAGGTCTCAGGGATAGCATGGGAGAAGGCAGAGAGGTGCTTATGGAAGTATAGTACCAAGAGAAGCATAATTGGGAGAGCAGGGCTGGAGTAGGGAGTGGTGAAAAAGAAGATGAATATGGAAGCAGTCTTAACGGGAAGAACATTTGGATTTTCCTTGTAAGGTCACTAACAATGGAAATATGTTAAATTCCAATAATTTTAACTATATCTTGAATGGCTCCCCCTCTGTAACCAGGTTAAGGGTTAGGTACCACTTCACTTCTCACCTAAAAAGTTAGTTTTTATTTCAGGTCCTAGTGTGTCCGTCCTCGTCGTATCTCCTGCATTGTGACAACCCACCATGCATCATGTTGTGGAACTCCCCAAAGTTATTTCTTTTGACATACTGCATGTTTTTTTTCTCTGAAAGCCTCTTTTTTTTATATATATATATTCTAAAAGTATAAAATATAGGCAACGTTAATATATGGCATGATGTTTTTCAAGGGAATGTGCCTCACATTCCATACTTCATTGGGATTATAGAATAGCCTTGAAGTGATGGAATGACTGGTGGATATCCTGTTAGAACAGAAATGACTATAACAGGGACAGACATAGGGGGAATCTGCAAAGAGCTTTCATTTAATGGGCAATTTTTTCCATTTAACTTGGTTATTGAGGGGC